AGGGCAAAATTTAGGTTTTCAGATCACGCCAAAATGATTATTTGCCGTTCTGGTAGACGTATTGTTGTGGGTTTATCCTACCTACACTAATAGCTAGAGTTGCCGTGGGAATTACAGCACCACAACAACATGGCTCAGGGTATGAGCAACATTGGTCAGTCGTGGGCGACTACCCCTAACCGCTATTTTGTACCGATGACGGGTACTACGGGAGCGACGAACGTCATCCCAGGCATCAGCAGCGCTGGACTGCCAACGGATATGGCGGGTGGTGTTGACGAGGGCTCGGTGACACGAGCAGAAGTGGAGCAGGTGGCTCTGTTCACGAACCCGCAAGGCGTGTACAAGACCTTTTCCGGTACGTGGGACCCACCGCCTGGGCACGTCTGGAATGGGAAGTACTGGTACGAACCGCGGAAGATTGCACGGAAGGCGCTGGTACCGCGGTAGCGAGTACCAAGGTGGAACCGAAGAAGCCTGCTGCCAAGGTCAGGACGAAGCGGAGTCGAGTGAAGACAAACAGGAGGCAAAACCCAGGAAGTGACGCTACAAGGCCGTCGTGAAGCAAGCGACTGCGGACGAGGGCAAGAGTCGTGGTAATGCAGACGGCGAGCGCGGAAAGACGTCTGCCATCGGGAAGCCGACCGGTGCTGGATCATTCAAAACGAAGTGCTCCCACTGTGGCCAGTGGGGATATTCGATACCGCAGTGCACTAACAAGCCCAAATGCTACGCATGTGGAAAGCTGGGGCACTTTGCACGGGAATGTACCGACGAGGAAGCGAAGTGCAGGAACGACGCGTACCTGGAACAGCGTGAGAAGACGCGAGGCGCGTTGGAAAACAAGAACCGGGCGCTGTAAGGGTGTTATGGCATCCGCGTGAGCACGACGATCCCCAGCGGACTGTGTCCGAGAAGCAAGATAAAGATGAAGTGACGAGTGTGGTTGGAATAGGCCCCATGGGAGCCGACACCACCACCAGAGAGCGACGGATGACGGAGAGTGTAGTGTCGCCGGCGCAAGACGAGTTGGGCGAGGTGCTGCAGACGATGAGTACCGATACGATGCTGCGAGACGTCGAACGGGCGGCGATATATCTGGCGACGGTGCGACCGACGATGGCAGCGGAGCGGTTTGTGCGTGCCGAGCGAGAACAAGCGTTACAAGCGCGGGGTGAGGACGACAGACTGGGGCAGGTACACCAGTGCCGAGCTGGAGAAGGCGTGACCGCGCCACGAACTAGAGAAGGCGCGGTAGAAGAACAAACAGGCGAGATGAGGTCAGAGGAAGGCGAGGTGGTGGCGCCAACCACCTCGGACACCGCGACGATGGACGAACTGGTAAAGGACCGGAGGACCGGACGATGACCGACATGGATGCAGTGGCACCGGTCGACCTGGACGACGACCAGAACCTGGAACAGCTAAGTACCAGTATCGACCAGGCACGACAAGCTCGACGGAAGGCAAGGAAGGCGGCAAAGCGACAACGAGTCAAGATGATGCTGGCGAAGCGTCGCAGAGAGACGCAAGAAGACGAAGTCGAACGACAGAGAGCCGCTAATGCCGTACGGAACATACGAGTCAAGAGGCAAACGCAGCGATGGCCGAGCTGGCAGAACGACGGTGACGGCGGATGAGCGATTGTGGTGATGAACAGCGGCGACGACCAGGGGACTTGACCCGAGTGAGCCTGGTGAAGCACCAGCCAGTACGGGAAGGACGACACGAACGAACGATGTAGTGGAGTACGTGGGCGCGGATGATGGCCTTCCAACGGCCATCATGGATGTTGGTGGTGTACGACGGCGAGTGAAGCTGGGTGGTGGTGCTCGGTACACTATCGCTGGCACTGACTGGATGGCGTAAGGCGACAGAGTGGCGACGAGCTCCCCAGTAGACTTCGTAGAGAGTATTGGAGTGATTCTCCTCAACGTAGTTGGTGTATGGCAGTTCGAGTTCCGCACTGTGTTCAACGAGGTGCTGACGGTGGACGCGTGTGTGGTGTCAGGGTGCACCGACGAGTTCCTTCTGGGAGTGGACTTCATGCGGGCACGAGGAGCCACGATGGACTTCGACCGCAACGAAATCTGGTATCGCGACGAAGGACGATCCGTGGTAATCTCGCTCCGAACGCACGATGGGACGGGTGGAGCAAAGATCGCTGTAGTGCGGATGGCTGGCAGAACGTAGTTGGTTGGGAACGCCGTGACACCGGTGCAAGTCTTGGTGGCCGCCGAGGATGACGAACGTGTGGTGGAGTGGGATTCGCAAAATCGTGTTGCGATCCACTCAGACACACAGTGCCCTGGACTGCCGACTGACGGAGGGGGTACTCCGATAACCGTGGGGTTGCTGAGGGCTCACC